AAGAGAAAAAAATAAAGGTAGTTCTTGACTTATACTGTCATTATAATTGAGACCAGAATTATGTGCATAAATCATTTCAATTGTAAGTCACCTGGATTTGAAGTTATGACCATTTTTCTGCAATGTTGGTTAAGTGAATGCTGCAGTCATTAAGCAAACATTGTATTCGTTAAGAATATCCACTTTCCCTAATAAGTGTTTTGGGTTTTTGTGCTAGAAACCAGAAATAAATACTAGCAACTGGAAAAAGTCACAAATCGTGATCATATGATTGTGTGACAGTGCAAACTGCCATAAAAGTGAGGCAGTTTACAAGCATCCGAAGTACAACCATATGACTGGTGAAGGCTTGTAACTCCAAAAACAGATTGTAAATAGCTCTGGAGAGATTTGTTGTAACTTCAAATGGTTGTTAAATAATCAGTTGTAAGCCAAGCACTACATGTATTTTATATTTATAAAACAATTCAAACTTTCAGTTAAAGTTTGGATTTTAAATGCAGTTAAATATTTTTCAAGAACAGTTTTTCCTGAGCTTCATAGGTCTTTGCTAACTAGCATTCCAGAAGCATCTATTTAGATAACAGCCTCTAAATATAGATTTTTATTAAGCAATAAGAACTTCTGAAGAAAGAAAATGAGATTTGGGTGTACAGATGTCATTTAAACATGCATACTGGAAATATGCAAAAAGAACTAACAACAATTTTTCATGCTTTTAAAAACAAGATGAAGACAGAGCTCTTCAACATTGATGCTGATCACATACCTGGTAATTGATTGGCCAATGCCAAGGTTTTGATGTGACTTCATTCTCCTTTGGTTTAAGGCCACTATTTCCCTTCCGATGAAATGAAAGGCAGAGTTATCAGTTATATTGCAAAACCTTTGTAACTGTCCATTTACCTTTTGTCTGTCTGTCTGTCATTATACCTCCCATATTTAACAATGCACTGTCCATCTAACTCATTTCATATAAGGGTGCATTAGCCACCTCTGGAAAGTTGATACAGACATATGTGCACACACAACACATATTCAATCTTTTACTGCTCTTTCTTACTAAATATCCTATTTTGCCTTCTGGTGGAGATAGCCTAACCCAGCCCACTTTGAGACTCTGATATCCCATTTCAGCCAGGAATGCTTGAGAAGATGCTCCATAGTGAAAACTATGGGATTTTTTTTTTTTGTTATTGTTCTTTATTCTCCACAATTATCCCTAGAGTAGAAATTCATTAACTTTGCTTTCACACCGCTAACGTATCTTTACTTTTACAAAAATAATTATTTCCCCTAAAGTGAATTAGAGTGTTGATTAATAACACTAAGCCCTTATATCATGGTATATAAGTAGTAAGAAGGCCAATGTAATCTTGGGATGATACATTCCCCACTCCCTGCTGTTCATGCAAACTGAAATAAAAAGTAAACAGAAAATTATTTTAGGCAGATAATATCCTTCTTCTGCTTACTGACAAATCAGAAATATAAAAAAAGCAAAAATGTAGCTCCAATGCACAGAAATGTAACTATCATCCAAAAACTATACTAATCCTCTAATGTGGATAGATTTTGGAATATTGTATAAATAACTGCCTTAGGTAGTACCACACCAATAATGCTTACCATGAAAATGGATTATACCGAATAGATTACTAGTAAAAGTTCTAACATTTAGAAATTAGAAAACACTATTTATAAATAACTCAGAGCAACTTGATTCTCAGTCCAAATCAGGCTGGCAGAAGTATGGATAAAATAATTAGGCTTTTATGACCCAGTCTAAGGAGGTATAAAAGACTGAAGACTAAAATACTAAGTTTCCAACTAACTCAGCTTAGTTTTTAAAAACATTTCCGCTTGCTAAAATATTATTAATAAACTATATCAGATAATTTATCTTTCTTTAAGTATCTACAGTATATTTTGAGGTATATACTACAATCTATATTAATCTTCAGCCATCCCAGATCACTGAACGTGCCTTGAAAACTGCTGAATAGAGAGACAGACTTATTGGATTGAATCTTCTGCTATTTTGGCCCAAACTGTTTTGTTTTATTTTGTTTACATTGGAATGTTAAATAATAAGTCCGAAACAATCTACCTACTCGAATCATAACGATGTGAGATTCCAGCAGTATTTCTGGAAAGGAAGGTTTCAAAACATCCAAACTGATATTGGGCACTGCAGAAAAGAAGAGAGTTTAAGATGAATTTTATACATTAAATCTGCACAATCATTCTCTCGGCACTCAGTTAAATTCTGTGGGCCAGCATTATTGAAATAACAAAATATTCAGCCAAATCTTGACTGGTCAAATTCCCCTCAAGTCCTCATTCTAGTAATATCCGGGAACATTAAAACTGAATCATAGGATTTTCCACTTTTCATTTTTATAAGTATCTGAAATGAGGAAAGGGATACCTTAGAGTAGGCATGCCAAATAATTTAAGACAGCTTTTTTTTTTTTTGTATTACTCTGGTCAACCTGTCTGCTGTGTTTCCCCAAAATAAGATCCAAACAAAAAATAAGCCCTAGCATGAATTTTTCAGGATGCTCATAATATAAGCCCTACCCCAAAAATAAGCCCCAGTTAAGATCGTCAGACAGACACATTTAGTACTTACACCCTAATGCGACATACATACATACATACATACATAATATATACATACATACATACATACATATTAATGATATGTTACAATCACATACATCTGGAATTAATGTGCTCTTCAATATTCCAAAGTGTATTTGGAGTCTCTTTCTGATATGGAGTGCAAGTGACTTCCACTTGTTCCCAGCCCCTGTGAAAGACAAATAGTTTTAATCAATTCACCCCAATTTGCAGCCATATTTCTTGACTCTTTTTAACATTTCTTTTTGTAGAGATCTGTTTTTGCTAGGAAATAAGGTAAATGATGATTTAAGGGAATTATTTATTTTATTTGTTGAACAAGCCACATGGTGACATTTTGTATAATAGGACACACATGGTATTATTATTGTACAAGATACTGTAAATATTACATCTGGAATATTGGGGATAAATTCTGGGTGCTCATGATCAGAAAGAATAAATTCAAATGGAAAGAAAAGTAGTTCACAGTATAAGCATTGCGTGAAGGTCAACTATGTTCAGTAAGACTTATTTCTAGATAAGTTTCAGCAATGGAGATTTCTTTTAATGTAACAGCAGATATGAGCTCTTTACTTTTTAAAGCCACAACATATTACAAGTATATTCATACAAGATAACAAAGAATTAAATTAGCTATTCAGGCTAAAGGAGGAGTATGTCTCTAAAATACATATGGTTATAAATTAGCTGTTGTTTAATTTAAATTAGAAATTAGAAAACATAATTAGAAGAGTAATGAAAAATGGTCTCTTAAAATAACTGTAAAGCAATGTTTTAAGAAAAAGTTAGCTTAGACATTTGAACAGTTACCATTTGGGTAGTGTCTTTCCCGTCGAACCCAAGATACAGGTCGTTGCTAGATGAACCAATCGTATTTGACTTCGCAGGACTTTGATACGTTTCCCATCCTTTCTTCCTACAACTTCAATTCGCCAGAAATCATTGGAGTCTCCAGATCCATTCTAGGAAATATATATATTACAGGATGGGGACAGGGAAGACACATTAAAAAAATATTTTTCTCTAAATAGCTAAAATTGATATTCATAGATCACTGTTGTGGCCCAGCAGGAGCCGTTGGAGCTGCCGATGGACTCCGATAGCGAGGAACCCTATGAGTCTGCTATGGAAGATGTGGAGGATCCTAGGCAGGGTTCAGACTCAGAGCAGGGTCCAGAGAGGCTGTTTGGCCACCAGGAGGCACCTGAGGCATGGAGCAGTGGAGAAGATCAAAGGGAGTTTGTCCCTGATGCCAGACAACGAAGGTTGGAGAAACGGAGGCAGCAGTTACGGAGACAGACTCATAAGAGATAATCAAGCCCAGGTGGTTGTGGCTCGGCCCCTCCCAAGAGAGTATATAAGAAGAGACTTTGGGAGGAGTCCTTTTGCAGGNACACACAGACACACACGCACAAAACCATTTTTCTCCATTCCAATTCGGATCCTATAAATCAATTGCTCTGTGAAACATCTGTGAAAAAAATTCAGGTGCTCAGGCATGAAAATGTGCCACTCAAACACTATGTTTTCTGCACACACTGAAAAAAAATTAGAGGGAACATTGCATGGCAGGGGAAGGATACTGTAAAATCTCCATTCCCACCCCACTCCAGGGGAAGGTTATTGCAAAATCCCCATTTCCTCCCAATCAGCTGGGACTTGGGAAGCAGAGAATAGATGGGGGTGGAGCCAGTCAGATGTGGTATTTACCGGTTCTCTGAACTACTCAAAATTTCTGCTACCAGTTCTCCAGAACGGGTCAGAACCTATTGAATACCACCTCTGGTAGTGATGTTTAGTGCTGTAAGGAGCCCCAGTCTGCTCCTGAGTGAAGAAGTGGAATGCCACTTTGAACTGAGATAACAGAATGTGAGGCAACTGACAGTTGGAACAGAGTTCTTTTCAGGTGGGGAGGGAGAGTGTTAATTACTGTATAAGAAATACTAATGATCTGATGGTCATTTTGAAAAATCCTTTCTTAGCAAGCATCTAGGAGCCAAGAAGAACATGCGTGCCAAATTTCAAGTTTGTAGCCTTTACGGTTCTGGAGATTTCATGATAATGCGTAGTGGTATTTTGCTTTTATATATATAGATTTAACAACTAAAAGTACATTTGTTGTTAGTGTCCAGTCTCAGAAAACAGCAATAAATTATGTTGGTATCTGTTGCAACTTCACAATTTCTGTCTAAAGAGAAATTATAAAAAGCTTTTTGAAAAAATTATATAATAGCTGTTAACTTTAAAACAGTTTTCATTTCAGGAACTTAAGGAACAGACAACATTTGGCTCTTTCAATTTGCCCCAGTTCTGAATTGGAGCAAGTAATAATTCATTTGGTAAATGATTTACCAACTAAAACTGGCTCTAGACACAAGCTAAGCTTAAATGGCCAGACAGATCTCAATAGCAACAGTAGGACTACGGAATTTGTGCTGCAAATTTCTGGATGGTGGCAAAAATGGAAGCAAAAGGTTGTGCAGGTTTCTGTCATCTCCTACTGGACATCTGAATTTTTGCAGTTCAGATAAAGCACCCAGAGCAATAATGATCCAACAATGGACTGACTTTTTCAAATGTGCAGCAGAAGCTAAAGATCATTTATCATATCATGGTGTCATATCATATTGTATCACATCGTATTGTAATATTATTGGGAAATTGATCTAGTCAGTTATTTGATGGTTCCTATTTCCTGGAAAAGGGATTGCTGGCGATGAGACGTCAGCAATAAGATCTTGCTTATAACACGCAGAGTGAGATATAGTGGGAATCTGGAGGCAATCTATTCTCAGGCAAAGCAGAGAAGATGAAAAAACAATCTATCTTTTACCCCCAATGTTTAGCCCTGAGACAGAATCGCAGCTCTTCAGTGGCCCTGATCTCTAGAAACCACTATTATTAACTGCCAAATCAGTTTGTATAGTAATAGCAATATCACTTAGACTTATATACCATTATATAAAGCATAGTGCTTTAACAGCCCTTCTAAGTGGTTTACAGAGTCAGCCTATTGCCCCCAACAATCTGAGCCCTCATTTTACCCATCTTGGAAGCATGGAAGGCTGAGTCAACCTTGAGCCTGGTGAGATTCGATGTGTCAAACTGCAGCCGGTGATCAGCCGAAGTAGCCTGCAGTACTGCACTCTAACCACTGCACCACCACGGCTGTCCTCCTGCTCTCACCCATGATCTTATTTTGGAAAAAGTGGCCACTCTACTATGTATGATGGAGTCCTGGGTGGGACCAGAGATGGTGTTTCCTTTCAGAAATCTACTCACCTAAATTTGAATGGCTACATTTGGGAAGCCGGGGAAATGGGGTGGGGTAGCTGTGGTCATCAGGAAAGTCCTCATGACTTTTACAAGCATTGCACCAAAGAATCAAATGTAAAACTGGTGGAAGTTGGGCTCCAGCGATCAGCTGAGTTTCTTGTTGGTATAATAGTTTCCCTCATGTTCAGTGACATCCCTACCCGACTTCCTTGATTCTACTGCTGGTTGGCAGGTGGCGCCTCTGAGACATTTATTTATTTCTGGGGGACTCTAATCTGCCTTTGTGTGGCAATTCATCAATCATGGGAGGCTCCAGTGGTTTTCTGAAGAGCTTTCAGGGATGAAATGACATAAGAAATATGTTAGTGCCACTGGAGGATAAGAAATGATGACTCAAACTAAACGGCACACTTGTCAGGACTTACATTAATTATTACATTACGATAATAAAAGGGGCAAAAGACGGGTATTTTTCCACTTGTATTTTCAGATAGCCAACCAGCAGCCTTAAGATTATCTATTTTCAGCTGATGATGCTCAATTATTTATATCAATCCTAAACTGACCAAGTAATGCTGTTAAAGCCATGTCTCAATAACTGACAGCTGTCACAATCTGGATTGGAAGAGAAATATTTATGCTGAACCTGGAATGGCTCTGGGTCTCCTGGTTCATCCAGGAATGGGGGGAGGGGGAGAGATCCTATCAATGTGATTATGTTTTATCTGTCATTGTTTTCAATTTTTTTTGGCTTATACTGGGTTGAATGTTGTTTTTAACAACATTAGAATCTTTCTAAGTTGATTGGCTAATAAATCTGATTCATAAATTAATAAATGATAATATATACAAACACATGAAGAGAAAGTTTGTGTGTATATGTTTCTTTTTCCTGAAAAACTAACATAGACTTGAGCTTACTTCCACTGACAGAAGTATGTTTGAAAATACCAAAGAATTTTTCAATATTTCCACAGGGTATAAACCAGATGATTTGGGAAGTGTCCATTCTAAAATAACAGAGCTTTGAATAGGCATCTCCCCAAGCAGGGAGATAAGAAGATGAGTTAGGAACCCTATTTTATTTTTTATATATTGTATTAATTTTAATTCATATTTCTAATACCATCATAAGATCCATCATTGGGTATAAATCTTTTGAGCTCTCAGTCAACAACATCAAGCAATTTGCAAAGAAAAGTACAAATACATTCAAATATCCAATCAACCATCACAAATATCCCTTATAAGTTTATCCATTAATACATTTTACAATCAAAGGGAGACATCAAACATTCTTGACTTGTTGGCTGCTCAGTGTTGAAGCATGCAATTTATTGTAAAAATGCTTTACTTCCATCATATATTGTTCTTATCACATTAAAATAAACTTTCAACTCTTGTTGTGAAATTGTCATATTTTCTTAAATTTTATATTCCTCATTTCAAGCCTATTCGTGTTATATTCTTTGTATAACTCAGTAATGTTCAGTAAATTCTTTTCATTGTCATATCTTGCATTCTGTATTTGCCAAATATTTTCTCAGAAATCCTTTCCAAATTAATGATTGCTCTTGCCCTCCTTTCCTTTGTATAGGGCAGTAATAAGAGCATTCTTCCAAGCATCAAGCAATTATGAAATCTTCACAAATGTAATAATTCACACAGCCACCCTATAAGGAAACTGCACCGAAATTTTAACATTTCTCCAGTTACACTATATGTACTTGCAGTCTTACCATTTTTCAACATTCTCACAGCATTTTATAACACTTGTTTGAATTGCACTCTTTGACATACCCAGAGGTGGTATTCAGCAGGTCCTGATCAGTTCTGGAGAATGGTAGTAGAAATTTTGAGTAGTTCTGAGAACTGGTAAATACCACCTCTGACTGGCTCCGCCCCCATCTATTCTCTGCCTCCCAAGTCCCAGCTGATTGGGAGGGTATGGAGATTTTACAGTATCCTTCTCCTGCCAGGCCCACCAAGCCATATCTACCAAGCCACACCCACAGAACCGGCAATAACAAATTTTTGAATCCCACCACTGGACATGCCACTATCATTCACATCTTAAAACTACTCCTTTCCACATCTCTTCAGTTGTCATTTCATTCTAAATAATTTCATCATTTTGTTTTTTCCTTCCATTCATTTTGCTGGAGGCTGTTTGTTCAGATCTCTTTATTCGCTCATCTTAATTTTTATAATTAAAAAAAAAAGACATTGCTTGAAAAAGGAGAAGACTTCATTATAATAACCTCCCAGGCCTTAATAATCTTGAAGAGAATACCAGAGTTTATTGATCATCTCTTTGGGTCAACATAAAGGCAGGTCTTTCCCATGAAGCTACCTCTGTTATGGGATGGCTTCCCATTTATAATATATATGAAAGCTCAGTGTTAACTTGTTCTAGGTATCCTCTTGAAACTTTGCTTTTTATATTGCCCCTTCTTAGTTTATGTTTATATTTATATTTCCTGCTTCTCCAGTTGTTTAAATGGAATACAAGCATTATTGCGTAACTGTGGTGGAATTAAAGTCAACACATTCAGGTAAGCATGTCAAAAAGGGCTAATCTGTTCTTCAGTGCCAGAACCTTAGACAACAGCAGCCATGGCAACTGACTCTATACAGAATCAATGAAACAGTAAACTTCCTTCAACTGCAAGTTGTTAATCAGATGCTAGTGGGAGCTGCAAGAGATTTCACAGTTCAGGAAAGGACAAAGACTTTCTGCAAGTTTTACTTTGTTTTTGAAATATATATGGGTAAAATACCAATATTTTTGCAGCAAGTTGAGATAGTCCTCAACATATGACCACAGTTGGGACAAGAACTTCCATTGATAAACAGTGTGGTCATTAAGTGAGTCGTACTTTTTATCACCTGTTTGTTCTGGTTGTTAAGTGAATTATGTAATTGTTAAGTGGCTCTGGCTTTTCCCATTGATTTTGCTTATTGGAAGGCCCGTGAGAAGATCACAAAAATGGCAATGATGTGATCTGAAGATGCAGCAACCATTGTAAATATAGGCTGGTTGCCAAGCACATAGGTGTGGGGAATGTTGCACTGATTATGTGAGGATGGGTCATAATTCTTTTTTTTTAACATCATCATAACTTTGAGTTGTTGTTTAACAGTCATACTGTAAGTCAAGCACTGTCTGTATTTGAGTACAGAGAAATATATGTAGTTGTCTGAGTGCCGAAGAAAATTAGAAAATTGATAGATGCAAAAGCATTTTGTTTTTTGCTGCATTGTTCATTATATAGGATACTGCCCTGAGCTGATCTCTTTTGTGCATGTGTAGCTTGGGGTGGGGATCAGATTATTTCCTTTCTGGCACTAAAAGCAACTGATTGACATATCAGGCTGCTAATAATTTCACTCATGCAAGCTGTATGGTACCTAATGGAACCTGCAATCACAACCTTGTTCATACACTACCTTGCGCTAGGAAACCTCTTTTAAAAGTGCAGAAATGGAAGAATGGGTGCAGAATGCAAGCGTCTGACTTTCTTTTTTAGGGGGAGGACCAAACAAATTAGGCATTTGCCTGAAAATTATATTCCTTCAATTTTGTCTTAAGAGTCTTTTGCATCGGCATGTTTGGTTGCATTAATATTTGTGTTACTGTTTCTATTACATACATTTTGAGAAATCATTACCATTAAAAACTGAAATTATTTAAATGTATAAATGTATTGGGTGGGCCCACATATCAGGTATTATATACACTGGGCAGGAAGGGGGATGTTTTCCACTATGCCAAGAGAATCAACAGTCCGTTCCACTGCACGTAAAAAGTATATTATTAAAGATACTGATTTTGCATTATGCCATGTGTCCATTTTCTCAAGTAAAGCAAAATGTAACAACATCCCTATGAAAAGTAATGGGTAAAAGGCCATTACGGATCCAATCTGGAACTAGGGAGAAATTTCCTGATGAGAACAATTAATCAGTGTTTGAGTCCAGAAATTGTGGGTGCTCCATCATTAGAGCTTTTCAAGAAGACATTGGACAACCATTTGTCTGGAAGGGTATAAAAATTGTCTCGAATGGTCTAAGGCACTGATGGTGAACCTTTTTCACCTTGGGTGCCAAAAGCATGTGTGTGCGCTATTGCATGCGCTCACATGCCCACACCCATAATTTAATGCCCCCTGGGCCATACCCCCTGCGTATGCGCACGTGACAACCCCTGCTGCCCTGTGCATGGCTTTCTTGGAGCCTGGGAAGTGCAAAAACAGCCGCCCCCCCGCCACCTTGGAGGCCAGAAACAGCCCGTTTTCCAACTTCCAGTGGGNGTCCCAGCTGTCCTTCTGCTACACTTCCTTTTATTAATGTCCCCCAAATGAGATGTCCAAAATAGATACCCTCTCAAGTGATACAAGCACATTCCATTCTACAACTATGCTTTTCTTTTAAAGAAAGCCAAGATTTAAATTTAGCATATATTTCATATATCTGGGAAACACCATTGTTACAAGTATGACTGTACATAATCCTGAGAAAAGACACATTTTCATTGAAGAAAAGTAAAATGAGTAATATAATCTATTTGGGTGATTTTCAATTTACCTCTATTCAAGTTATGTTTCCTTATAATCCATAAGTTATTCAAGTCTTTGTGCAAATATGCAGTAACCTAGGGATACATAAAGAGTTATTAGATTTAATTTCTTAAGTTATGTTAATGAAGCTACAATTCTGTACTCATTACTAACAAATACAATACCTTACATGCAGGATTACATAAAACAAAAATGAAGAAAACAGATTTATCCCACTATTATTCCATAATGTCATTCAAAGTCGTGTTGATTTTGATGGTAGTAAGGATCTTAAGCTACCAAGGATCTTAAGCACAAATCATCAAAATAGTCTCATGAAGATTAGTTCATGAATCTAAGTGATGAAAAACTGAAGTCTTTACATACATATTTACAGATTAAATACATATATTTGGACTATTTAGAGTGAAAAATGAATAATATTATAGTATGCCATTAAATATTTATTAAATAATTGTTTGTACTGTAAAAAAGAATTGCAATCAAAGCTCTTTCACACTGGTTACTTAGCCAGTAACATTTTTAGTTGACTAAAACTTTGATATTATGTTTTATTAGAAAACTAATATTTAATAATTTGTCAAGACTAATAATTGGTCTTGACAATATAATAAATTTTAGTTTGGTAATATACCAATACAGGTACCAATAAGGTACCAATACAGAGTGGAGAAAATAATTTGTAAGGTTGTAAGTACTCTTCAGGATCCAAGTTTGAGATTCCTGATTTAGAGAGCATGACTAGTAGCCATTTTCCATTCCATTCTTGAAGGCCATCGCATGTAGTAAAAAAATAATTAATGTCCACATATTTTAGTCATCTGAATGACTTATGGAAATATCAGTAGAATAATTGAAAATGGTATTTTCACACTTGACTGACCTGCTGCTGCCTTGCTCCCACTCCTTCAGGATACAGGTGCCAGTGGGAGTGAAGGTATCCTCCTGCCATGCGAAGGTTCTTCAGTGTTATCACAGAGCCATATGCTACATCTAAAAAAAACCCAAGGGTTGCATTTGCAATCATAGATTACTGCTTTTTTCCATTAGTCATTTAGATGACTAAAACATGTGGACATTAATTATTTTTTTACTACGTGTGATGGCCTTCAAGAATGGAAGGGAAAATGGCTACTAGTCATGCTCTCTAAATCAGGAATCTCAAACTTGGATCCTGAAGAGTACTTACAACCTTCCAATTATTTTCTTCACTCCGTATTGGTACCTTATTGGTACCTGTATTGGTATATTACGAAACTAAAATTTATTGCATTGTCAAGACCAATTATTAGTCTTGACAAATTATTAAATATTAGTTTTCTAATAAAACATAATATCAAAGT